AATATCAAATAATAACAGAATCGTGTAGCCGTTTTCGCTATCACGCGAGACCATCATTGTTGATTTCGATCGCGAACGATGGAAACGAGATCAGTGGAACCGGAATCGTAATTTCCTTTACGCGAAAGAAGAAATCGTAAACGAACGGAATCAAATCTGTATCCGAACGATTGATTTCCTGATTAAAAGGAAAAAAAAGAAAAAGATTCGCGATGCTACGAAGAAAATGAAATTTCTCCGGTTGGCGCGAGAAGCTAACTCGTATATCAGAATCCAGAGCGAGGTTATTGGCACCGAGTCTGTTATCGAACGACTATTCGCAACGCCAAATCAAATGCACACGGTTCGTGTTTATCGTTATTACGTTTTATTACCAGTGGTATATTATTGGACAAACTACAAGCGGGAATCGGTGAATTTTACACATTTCATAACCTCGTCTCACTTTCTGATTACACAGCGTGATATCACGTTTTAGATACCTTGATTAATTACGCTAATTTACGATCGACAAACAGTCGTTATTACTATTTCTCAATGTAATCGTGAATTTGCAGTTTCTCTTTCGCGTAGATAGATTGAATTTCACATGGCAAACGAAATTACATCAATTTACATGCAAGAAAAAACAACTGCGTTTCTGGCTCCAGTTTTGGCAATAAAAAAAAAGTCCCCTGTTTTTTCCATCCCTCTATCTTCGATGACGGAAATTCAGTTGAATAACTAATAAGAGGCAAACGCACCTGTTACTGGTCTTTATGAAAAATTGATACGCTCGTAAAATTACCGAGCACGGAATTTGTTATTATCATACCAGGAAACACGATGTTACGTTTCTCGGAAGAACTCGGTGAAACATAACACGGCACGCGTATTACGTCACGTTTCGTTCAATTGTGTAAACCGTGGAACAATCATGGGGATACCAAGGAAAACGAGAATCAAAGGTAAAGGGTGTAAAACGTGGTGTCACGAATTTCGCGATCAAAGAAGGGTAAATGATGGTAACCGTGAAAAATGGGCTTATTATATTCAAGTGTTCCAGCGCCCGCGGAATACATTGAGAAGAACACAAAGGGAAAAGAGGAATCGTACGGAAGAGTAAGGTCTGCAAAGTGGAAGAGGCAGGTTCAGAATCTCGTGGTGTGCTACTGTCTACGTGTCTACGACTCAGCCGAAACAATGGGGCAAGTGCACTTTTGCCTGACTCTCGCCTGAATGCACACCGCGGCGAACCATTGCCAAGATTAATTTGACAATAATTACTTCCGACGAGCTTGAAAAGGTGGAAACGATACTTGCCTACGCCGTCTAGAAAGAATCGTTATGAAATTGTTGATAATCATTCTCACCTTCGGGAACTCGTTCGTCGCTGATTCGCTATCCGATAAACAAATCTCTCTTGTGCTCGTAAAAGCGTAATCCGTGCTCTGTTACAGAAGTTTACGACTTTGCTACGTGGTTTGTAATGGTATTAGAAAGTTTGTAATTCGCCGGTGGTTCCGTCGGGGAATGAAAATAATAAAACAAAAGCGAAACGAAGGCGACGGCGATCCAGGTGCCGGTGGACGACGGATTTGCCAATCCATGCACTTGGAATTGCGAGCAAACAGCATTAAAACGAGATTTGAGCGTACCGTGAGCGCACGCAATCCAGTAAACAAATTTCATAATAATCCCAACTTGTTTATCGAGCGAACATTCGTGTTCCAAGTCTTTTCGAACGCCGTGACCGCTATATGCCCTCACCTATTAAATTTATTTGCATGCACATAAATTAAAGCACAAGCTTGTGAACCTTAACAAACACGCGGCTACACGAACAAACGTCTACGAATAAATTCTCACGGCAGCGGATTAACGATTGGAAATAAAAATTGCTGGAATGAGAAATGGACAAACTCCCTACGTGCCAAATTATTCAAAATAAAGAAAGATATGTAGAATAACGAATGCCCCAATATTAGTCATAGAAAAGACCAAGTAATCATTACACGATTTAGAATTGGTCACTCAGATATCTCACATCTCTATAAAATCACAAAAACTCTTCCAATTCTTTGTAATTCCAGTAATCTAATACTATTTATCGAACACATCATCCATGATTGCCCAGCGTTTCAAACACAACGGCAAGCCTTCAACATCCCAACTAATCTTAGTGACTGCCTCAATAACCAAACGAACATTGCGCTCGTTCTTGCGTTTCTCAGAACTATAGGTTTATATTATGAAATCTAAATGTTATCACACTCATATATGTATTCTAGCTCTATCCCTTGCTTGCTATTGCATCAGCAAAACTCGACATGTATCCACTATATGACTGTTTATCAAAATGTGGTCGCTAATGACCTTGATGTTAATGCGACCTTTATAAATAAACAATACTAAAAAAAAGAAAAGGTTAATTGTTTTCTTCCGACGAAAGGAACGCGGGTTCGGTGGAATAAAATTCGAGAAAACACGTTCCAATTTTTCTTCGCCCTGAATCTCGCAATGTTACAAACTCGCGTTACGTGTGTATCGAATGAGTATACCCGACTGAACACGAATGAAGCGACACCGAGAGGGGTCAATGTAGTTAAATTAAAACACGTTTTCCTTGCTAACGCGATCGGCCGTGCGGTTTTCGTACCTCGATCACCTTTGTGTCGTTCAAAATGACTGGCCGCAGCCGCCGCCGTTCTAACAACCTTACGCGATAACCTCACCTACGGAATCTAGTTCTGAACGCAGCCCAACCAGTTTGTCGGTTAATTAATGCTGCGCGAAACTGGTAGAGTCTTGCGCTTTCGACGTGCACCGGGCCGTTTATCCCGTCTGTTGGCCGTTTATCCCGCGCAGTTCTACATCTTTACGCCACCAATTGATTGCTGTTATATGAATTCTTAATGATCCGCGACCGGATATAAGCTCGTGCTGTTCAGGTTCTGGCGGCAAAATTTCAATATTTGCTTCATCGACCGATCCAGACGAAGGGAACGTGTTCCACTGACCACGGATTATTTTTATTCTCGCTCGCGACTCTCTCGCTGATACGAAAGACGGGTCTGGGTTAGGTGTAGGTGTGTGCGTCGAAACAGACCGCCGACGAGTTCACCGATACCAATCATAGACTTCGGCTAATCGACTCCCTGTCTCTTATTAATTATTCAAACATGATCGGTTCAAGGTCCACGGTTTCCGCGGTGTACACACGCAATCTCCGGTGAACGTTTTACAATCGTAAAATCGGCTGAATATGCGACGAACACGGGGAGATACAGTCGATCTCGTCGAGATACGCCGTAGGAGAATTAGGTTTCTCCTAGAACCGGAAGGCGATCTACGATGAAAGTATTCGACCTTCTAACAGGTGCTCGCACGTTTTTCCAAACAGGCCGATAAATTCGGCGTTGAAAGTGAAAACGTGAGTGCGTGTGTGTGTTTGGAAAGAGTCCCGGCCAGTACGATTGAAATTCTCGGCAAGAGAACACGAGGATACACGCGACAAACGGAGAAAGTTCATTCAGGACTGAATTCAATGAGGACCGTCTGCGACTCCGCGAAATTGCAGTGTCCGCGACGGCGAGTCGGTTCCGAAGACAGGGTATAGACGTCGTTGCGTTTCGCAATTAACGACGTCCACGCGTAACGCGTTCTTCGTTATGAAATAGCCAAGAATTTCGTTTTCACGTTCCAAGGAGCGCGTGGGTGTGGCACGCGGTTGTTCGGCCACGCAGATACAAACGATCTCACGCGTTATGCAACACGCGTCACCGCAACAAAACGGAGTCGACGCGTTTCACGATCGACGATGTGGTATGCATGCATGCGTCGTAATTCTCGCGCCTGTGACGTATTATATACCTACCGTCGCGTGTCACGACTCACGACGTGTCGTCGTGAACTCCAGCGAACACACGAAATTTCAAGGGCGAGTGTCGTTACCGGGTCGCGAGCTGACAGACGTCTCTGCGCGCTATCTACCACTTGCGATGCCTGTTATCTCTTGTTTTATGTAAATGATGCTTTGCTTTTACATGTATCGAGATATATGCCGTGAACAATTTGCGTCATTAAGAACGATCGAAGATTAAGATGCTTGCGACTGATCGACGACGAAGGGAAGATATTTCAATTGGGATACATACGTACACAGTGGAGCACCCCGTTATCCCGATGCTCTAGTATTCGAGCCCGTCCATTATCCGAGCGAAGCACGTTCTTGCGGGATATTCTTTCTTTTGTGCTCGACATTCTTTTATAATGGTTAACGCCAACTTTTCATTGTAAAATTTTAATGAAAAACTGACAGACAATGTTCTGTCGTAAAATCAATCGGATAGATCGTTGTGTAACAGAGATGTAAAGAACGATGTCGAAAAAAAAATGAGTAATTTATACGGTGGCCAATGTACCTATAAGAAGCTAAGATATAAGTTGCCGAGAACGAAATTGAATAAATGAATAATGATGACACTCTTCACAACTCTCGCTATAATACACAGCAGGCTATAAAGTTATCGAAAGAATTACTTAAAACCAAAGAAACCGGGTTGAAGATTATGTTTCTGAAAATAGTATTCCTACACAATCTTAAGTATTCGTGGCCGCTGGAACAGGTTTAAGGTGATACGAACCACAAGAAGAAAGTAACCCCGCAGAACTGTTCGCTTTAAACGTATACGCGATCCGACGGGTCAGAAGGAATGGAATTTATTTAAGCTTTCTTCTCCACGTTACGAACAAACGGAGATCGTAAAACGTGGAAGAAATGTAACCACGCGAATCATCGTGTATGACGAGTAATTCGGATAATCGAGGCAGCACCACACCAGCAATTTCTAGACACCTGCTGAAAGTGAGCCAGGTGCTGCTCCGAACAAAAATACGGTCGAAATACACGGGACACGGGTAAAGGAGACGGGGACTGTTACCCTCAAGCGAACCACAAGCTTTTTCTGTCGTCGATAAAGTGCGGAACGGAGAATTAATCGATGGAAAAAGTCACTCACTGAAGCGTCGGAGGATCACGAAGGCGCACAGAGAGGCAAAAAGGATCCTCCTTCTAGAAGGAAAGACACTCGGCAGAATCACGAGGCTGCGAAGCGCGCTCCCGGAGAAAAATGTTCAAAGCACGAGCGTAAACATCGAACTGAAGCTGCCAGGCAAGCTGCACCGCAACACCAACCTAGGCCCGACCTTAATAAGCTGCTTTCACACCGAATGCTGCGCGCACTGGCGATCACTTCGATGGAAGACGAACTTCGAGCAGTGTCAAGGTAGTAGGTCCCCGACTGTTCCTCGTTAAACACAAAAGACAGTTACGCATGAATGAGAGTCGATTCCTACGATAAAGAGGGGAAAAAATTCTTAAGAGATTTTTATTCGTAGTTTGCGCCTAAAAGTGAAAATAAACTCGATCGGTTTGTGATTGTTAGATTTTTCGTATTGCAAATTTCGATACGCGATCTACGCACCGGTTAAAATCATTTCACTAGGCATGTAATTAACGAAGCGCCGATTAAATATTTATCCTGTCGTCGTTCGTGGCTATGTTCTCTCGGAGTCCATAATTACACGGCCCCGAAATAGCAGGTTCCTCGTCAATATTTTAACATAGCCGGTCAATGACCCGTGCCTCTGTTGCTAGCGTATATTCGGAGCTAATTTCCCTGCAGATCTTTACGTACTTCCGTCATGCTCGCATTGTACGTGCTATTTGCAGTCCGTCACAAATTGCTAGCCTCTAGACTTCACGGTGGTGTATATAAACGTAGGGCGTTTAATTGTAAAGCGAGCAAACGAAACGGGTTCCCGAACGATAGTCCAGTTTCGTAGAAATAGATACAAATTGAAAATTCGATACGGTAACATACTTACTGTATTCGAGGGAAAAAGAAAAAGAGGACAAAGATTCGATCGATCGGAGGAAATGGAATTCTTTTGGTCGTGGAGGGTGGCTCGGTGTGAATACAACTTAAATCGAATTCCGCACAAAGGAAGGCATTCGATGGAAAAGAACCTGCACCGAACCCGACAGAGGCCCGCATCTTCCAGGTCCGAACCTAATTCATCTTAGGGCCCTGCGGTCCCACAATCACGTCGGATTTCACAGCAAATACGACTCTTCCGAGAATTTCTGAACGGAAGCGTCTAACATTCAGGCTCCCCTGTACCGTTGTCCGAGGGATGTTCCGACAAACGCCTTTCTGCGATTCACGATTTCTTTTCAGCCAAAACGGACGCTATTAATCGAGAGGTTACCTTCAAAACACTTTCATCCACCGATCGATAAATGTTTCCACTTCGTGTGACGCGTAAAAGCGTACCGTAATTGCGAACATGGATATAATTTCCCCGCGATCTTCACGTCTGGCGAAGTAAAAGCGGTCACCTCAAGGACGATTCAGTCGAGCGATATTTAATCACGGGAATACGCGCAACAATAAATCGTCGCAGAATCCGAGTCGCATTTGATCTCAAATAACTCTCTCTTTCACTGATTCACGATACGTCTACGCCGCGCGAGAAATCTCACGATTAGTTTAAATCCCACTCTGCCAGTTGTAATTTCGCGGTTTGCTCGCAAATGTATTCCACGAAGAAACTCTTGTTTCGTCTTCGAAGGTAAATGTATGAAAGCTTTGAAACCGTACAACGTATTGTGACAGAATGATTTTTTAAGTTTCTCACGGATATAACAACAGATTTCAGAATGTTGATCTTCGAATGATGTCTAATACGTAAATATGCCACCTTTGCAAAATTATATAAGAATTGCAGCTTTAAGTAGGAAGTAATAACATGTACAGCAACAGAGGTGACAGTTCGACATCCATCAGATACGCCCAAATGTAAAAAAAATTGAAATATCATTCTCTTGGTCAAGGTCGTACAAAGGTCAAGACACTACGTGCTACGCTGTACACTTTACAAAAGAAGACGCATCGTCTGGTTGAGAGAACACTGATCTTCGAAAATTAAACGGGGTTTTGAGTAAAAATATTACGTATCGTAATACATATCTAATCTTTTCAAACCAACACTTGCTACCCGAATTTCTTACAAACGTAAACACAGTAAGAACATATGTAGAATGAAAATTAGAAGACGTTTAATCAGCCAAGCTCGAAACAACTGACAATCTAATAATAGGTGTAGTACGCAAAAAGGAATAGTTACAACATACCTTATGGTCGTGACGCCCGGATGAAGGCACTTTGTCGGAGAGTTCCTTTAAGAATTTCTCGGCGCTCGTGCTAGTTTGAAGGTCAGACTGTCCGACTATATCGGCTTCCTTGATGCTATCGTCTTGAACGGAATCAGACGACGCACTTTCCCGACCGGCCGGATTGCCTTTCTCCTTTTTCCGAGTCTCCCGGTCCTTCTCAAGGATCTCCGACTCACTGAAGCACTTCTCGAAACTTGAGGCCCGATGAAGGATCGTCGGTGAGTTCGGAGTCGATTTTGAAAATTCGAGCTCGTTTTTTAAACTGTTGGCGCCCCTGTTGCATATTCGTGGTGGATCCTGATCGCGAAACGTTCTACGCTGACCCTTGGCTATCTCGCACATTTTTATAACCTTCTATCTTAACAGGAGTCGATCGAACTTCTCATGTTTCTTTTGTGAAAATATTAAAGGTAAAAACTCTTCTCGGAAACCTTAACCCAAAAATGATACATCACGAAACATTATTTCCCATTCATTGAACAACCACGACAAAATACAAACATTATTGTTGCGTTCTAACGAAAGGACTGGATATACTCGACAATTCAAATTTAACCAATCATGAATGTACTACTGATAATGGAATAACACTCTGTCTAGCATGGCAAATTGTGGATATGGCAGAAACGCGAATGAAAAACCAATGTGAAAATGTTTCGTAAGAACGTTCCTTCTTAGGTCGTCGAAACGTCATTGATTTCGTTGACGGAGCGGATACTAACCGGTTTCAAACAAGTGTTTTTCTTAACGGACAGAGCCAGCCTTATTTTGCAACGCACAATACTTCCGCAAGGTAGAGAGACGCGAACGGTACTATCTCGCCAAGGGCCAAACGAGTCATGCGTCATACGGAAGGACATCTGTTGCCCTTTTCCCTCGACCCCCTGTCCAAACGTATCCTTTGTCACTCTCTCTCTCTCTCTCTCCCTCTTTCGGTTGCCGAACTCGTTTCACTAACTCCGTCACTTTCGCTCCATCAAAACCCACCCTTTTTGGCGGGGAATAAAAATTGTTTCGAGCCATGAAGGATCAGCTGCATTGAAACGAATCGTTAGGTTAGCTAAAATCTCTGACGTCATAACTGAAGTTTCTCGTATCGACTATAGTTAAAATGCTCATGCGTCAATCGATCGTAAGCGACGAAACGGAAGACACTGTTTCATCCGACCGCGAGATGGCATAAATTTTTATTACTTCATAATGACTGAAAAAGATTTTCAAACACGACTCATTGCATTTTTAGTACTTTATAAAAAAAACTGTATTGCTAGAAATAGAGAGTCCGAAATGCGTTATTATTCTCATGCTGTGATGTATTTCATCTTAGATTTAGTTTCAACGGCTGTGTAATCCAGTTCATGCCTGTATTTTTTATTTAAAGTATAGAATCTTTTCTCTCTTTTCAATAAATACAATAGAGATTTCAGCTTTCGTTTCCATTCGTACGTCAATCATATGATGACCAATGAAAGAGAGAGAACAGAAACTTCGCGTACTAAATAACATACTTCTCACGTAATGTCTCAACGTGAATTTTAGATATTCACGTGCTTCTAAAGACTACAAGCAAGTATGCACATTATATATATACATACATGTACAATATTAAAATGTATAGTAATCGTGTTTACTAATACTTTTTTCTACGCAGTGTGTTTTAATTGAGTATTCTCTTTGATATTAAAATCTATACATATATGAATATATTCACTTTATGAAAGCTTAGAAAGGAATTAAATTTAGTACTTGTTTTTATCATACTTACATTTTGATTATTATTGATGCTATTAAGAAAGTACTGAGCTTTCCGTTCATTAAAATACAAAGCCTCCGTACACGTGCGAACAGAAAAATATTGTTATGCTAAGTTTATCCTAGCCCTTCCCTGTGCTCGCAATTGTTTAATTAGGCGATAGTAGTCTTTGTGTGTATATTAGTTTAAAAAGCTATCTTACTTTCACCTAACAATAGCCCACCTCCTAACCACTTCTAAGCGAGGATTGAATGAGTTAATAAACAATTAACTTTGTATACGTAATGATATATCTGATTGCAAAGACCTATAATGCCATCTATACCCACCTATCCTAGCACTAGCCAAATAGTACATACTACTTAGCACAAGTTAGCGCCATCGCATTATTCCAAATGTGTATGTATATGTATGTATATAATAAAGTCAGATAAACTTGTGGCGCTATCTATGACATGACACTATAGATATTTTGACCTACTTAATTTGTACATTTAGGATAATGCGATATCGCTACCTAGTGCTAAATTGTATGTACTATTTGCCTAGTAGCTTGGGTAGTTTGCTATAGATGTCATCATGAGTCTTTTCATTCTAATTTATCATTTATTAGACATAAAAAATGAATTGTTAATTATTTTATAGTGACCTAGGTTAGAAGTGATTAAAAGTTACCCTGTATTATATCAATTATATGTCATGTATGACACAAGCAAGATAGTCGGCTGGAATTCGCGTTGTGTTGCGTTGCATAACAACTTAGTAGCGCCATCAAGCAGTAAGTTTTCCGAAGTACGTAGCAGACGTATATCGAATACTCAAGGCTCGGACGAGTTGAATGATATTGAAGTAACCGGTAGTACTCATTCTAACACTGCCGTGGACCTATTCTCTTTTCAACCCCTCTATACCCGAAAGTAAAGTACATTTGCAACAGATATGATGCAAGCTAGTCTTTGGACCTTGGTGACCACTTCTGTCAAAGTAAGTTATCGAAAGAAAATACTTCATTGTAAATGCCTTTACAGACGTATCACGATCACGTACTCTATCACTCATTTTGGAGTCTATTTCGTAACATTCTGAAGGACAAATGGTTTTTTTGCACATTTACCTCGAATCAGCTGACAATACTTTTCTCGTTTTTTTTTTCGTCTTAACATGATGTTCATCGAGGTTTCTAAAAAGTCTTTATGGTTTCTTGACTTCATTATTATACATAAAAGTACGATTTTGTTAATTCGTTGGTTATGGCACCTACATTCTGGTCCTTCATTGTTTAGATGTATGTACAATACAAATAATTTAAATAATATCTGTTCAGTGTTGTTTTTAATAATAACTTTGTTTTCTTCTGTTATTATCAGCCAGCATGCATCAAGCGTGTTGTACCAGGCTTGACAGCTGCACAGCAGAGGAGATACGCTAGTACAGTAGATGCAGACCTTGTAGTAATAGGTGGAGGTCCTGGTGGATATGTAGCGTCAATTAAAGCTGCCCAGCTAGGAATGAAGACTGTTTGCGTAGAAAAGGGTGCAACACTTGGGGGTACTTGTCTCAACGTTGGATGCATCCCATCAAAATCTCTTTTAAATAATTCACATTATTATCATATGGCACATAGTGGAGACTTAAAAAATCGTGGCATCAATGGTACATCTCCTTTTTTGTCACCATATGTTACTATTATTTTTCAATGATAATTGACTTTACTTTGTTTCGGTAGTTGAAAATGTTAAACTAAATCTGGAAAAGTTGATGGAACAAAAGGTTAATGTCGTAAAAGCTTTAACCGGTGGTATTGCTGGTCTCTTTAAAAAGAACAAAGTTGAATGGGTTAACGGCCATGGAAAAATTACTGGTCAGAATCAAGTAACTGCACTTGGTCCAGATGGTTCAGTTGTAAGCACGATTAATACTAAAAACATTATAATAGCAACTGGCAGTGAGGTTACACCATTCCCTGGTATAGAAATTGATGAGAAACAGGTTGTCTCTTCCACTGGTGCTTTGTCGCTGAACTCGGTACCTAAGAGACTTATTGTAATTGGTGCTGGAGTCATTGGGTTGGAGCTGGGTTCTGTCTGGCAGAGGTACTTCTTTTCTCGTTATGTAATTATTCAGGATGTTATAATATTTTTAATCCTTACATTTACTTTGTACCATAGGTTGGGCTCCCAAGTAACTGCAGTTGAATTTCTGCCATCCATCGGTGGAGCGGGTATCGACGGTGAAGTCAGTCAGACACTACAAAAAATTCTAGCCAAGCAAGGCTTGGCTTTCAAATTGGGTACTAAAGTTACAGCTGCGAAACGTAGTGGCAGCGACATCATAGTTTCTGTCGAAGATGCAAAGGATCCCAGCAAGAAAGAGGACGTTCCATGCGATGTTCTTTTAGTGTGTGTTGGTAGGAGGCCGTATACCAATAACTTAGGACTCGAAGATATGGGAATTGAGAGGGATGAGAAGGGCAGAATTCCTGTAAATAGCAGATTCCAAACAGTAGTACCTTCGTGAGTAGAATTGTGTTGCAGAATTTTATGACATCTCTCGTGATATTGAAAATTGAATAAATTTCATACAGGATATTCGCCATTGGAGATTGTATTCACGGACCGATGTTGGCGCATAAGGCTGAAGATGAAGGTGTCATTACGGTCGAAGGCATCGCTGGAGGTAGGTAATACACAATGTATTAAAACATTTTATTTGTAACTTAGAATATGGATTTGTAGTAAGATATAATTCCTATTCAGGTGCTGTTCATATCGATTACAACTGTGTACCTAGCGTAATATACACGCATCCTGAGGTTGGTTGGGTAGGAAAATCGGAAGAAGACTTAAAGAAGGAAGGTATTTCCTACAAAATTGGCAAATTCCCACACTTAGCGAATTCCAGAGCGAAGACGAATCTGGACACGGAGGGCTTTGTTAAAGTTTTAGCTGATAGCAATACAGATAAAATATTAGGAGTTCACATGATCGGTTCAGTAGCTGGTGAACTTATCAACGAGGCTGTTCTTGCTATGGAATACGGAGCAAGTGCAGAAGATGTTGCGCGGACGTGTCACGCACATCCGGTAAGTGCGAAAATAAATTTTGATTACGCACTTCAAGTATGCATCATACTTACGATAACTGTATTATTTTAACAGACATGTGCAGAAGCTTTGAAGGAAGCACACTTAGCTGCGTATTTCGGAAAGCCCATCAATTTCTAAGTACCTCTACGAAAAACTCGAAAACCATTACTGCATATTTCGACTCGTCGTAGCTTCGATCTAGTCTACGCTCGAACGTCACGTTGCGCTACACATTTGGCGTACAGGTTTCATTATCGTTTTATCACATGAGAACGAGAAGTTGTAAATAAAACTGTAAAAGAATTTATGAAAGTATGACTCCTTTTATATTAGATTTACCTTTGTTTCTTGGTTAATGTATTTATTATTGAATAAATTAATGACCCATTACACAAGTATTCGATAAAACACAACTTGTGATGCTGTGAAACGTATATCCCTTCGAACCACGACGGAAATAATTCCGGACGCAATAAGATAAGTTTTTGTATTATTATGTTATCGATATTACTTCACCCGATTCTGTACGGATGCTAGTTCAGGTGACATAGTCATATTAATTCAGCATAAGAAGTTAATACACTGTCCAAACTCAAGATATGTATATATATATATTATCAGTTATAAGTAAACATTTGTTTTCTAAAATATTACGTAAAATTGTTACTTTTCTTTTTTTTTTTACCGTGAAGGATCTGGTCACCGTGTAGATACGGTCCTGAAGAGCACGTGACCGGCGCAGGAGTGGCAGCGTTGCCGGCAGTCGACCGCGGCTCGTCGTGGCCATCGGCAACGTTGCTCGCCGCGCAGAGAGAGAAAGAGAGCCGTAAGGGTGGCACTTGTGCGGTGCAACACACACCCAATGTTTGTGTTTTTGAATTTTTCGTGATACCAAGAGTGGTTCGTGGCCGTTTGGCAAGGGATGTAGCGCCGTCGTCGAGCCGCTCGAGATGTGGACCACCACGAAAACGACCAAATACGGCGTCGGTGAGTTCTCGTAGGCGTTCGTTCGTTTGCTCGTTTCATACGTACGTTCTATTCGCGATTAACGCGCGCGCGGCGCGGCTTCGACCCCGCTGGATCTGTCAAACACTCGTCTCGCGTTATATCCGCGAGATTTACCCGCGAGAATCCAATTGCCGAGGATCCCAAGGATTTGCGTTGACACGCGCGGCATCGTGGTACCGACCGGCGAACGCGATACTCTGCCCGTGCACCGGAAATCCTTGTGTCAATGATTTTAACGAGCGTCTTGAGATGTTTCGGCTACACGCCGTTTAATACGCTCAGCCTGTGAGAGGCTGTTGCTGCTGCTGGAGACGGCGTGGTCGTGTCTCCTCTCCGCACGACCGTGCGCGTGATCACATGCGTCTCTACGTACGGTGCTAATTTCGTTTGCGTGGTTGCGTGTGTTCCACCGACTCTTCCCATTCATGCATTGATCGTGCACGAGTCGCCGCGACCAGCGAGAGTCCTATAAAAAGCAAACTACGTCCAACCGACTTGCCATTAGCTTCTGATCTCGCGCCGTCTGACGCTATCCGTGTTCGTCGTGCACGCGTGCATGTCGTCGTCGTTGTAGAATTCGAAACAAATATTGTCACTCGACCTTCTTCGGGCCCGTGACCGATCACTGACCCCTACGGGATTTTCTTCTTCCTTGATATTTTCGAGGGAATCGAAGCTTCGTTTTTTTCTACCGGTCGAATCGCGCGTTAATTTCATATCAGTTATTTGACCCGTCATTGTCATATCGTCAGCTGATCCTTCTTCGAACGCAAAAGCGTAGTACTCGGTCTGGAGTATCCTTGAATTACATCCGTTTCAGTCTGTTTTGTCTGGCCGTCTGGTCGGCACACGCGCGCATTCATTACTTTAATGTCAATCTCGGTGTGCCCCGTTGCCGATCTTTACCGGGGACGGATGCCCGGCGTTCACCAATAAACTGACTTCTCTGAACTTGTTGTTTTACTTATAACGTAGCGCTACAACGGTTCCACAGTTACGTAAATCGTTAATAGGTACATATTGACTTTCAATGACATCGATGAACACTCGATCTTGTTCGGCGTTCAATGTTATGCGTTAATTTTTTCGAAAGTATTTTTTATTCTATCGTCGAAGTAATTATACCACATTCAGTTGCGTTCGCAAGAAGTTTCATCGAAAATTTGTACTCGAGTCGAAAAACTATCAACGTGGGACGTTGAGAAAAAGCGTAATGGACGATAACGGAAATTACATTTATTGATCGTCGTTGTATGTATTTCGTGCGTGCCGTATTTGTCGGTTCTTTTAATTTTTTTGTACTTCAACGAACAAGTACCAATTGGAAAGCGGAAGGACCAATTGAAAATCGTATTCACCGACGTACACTGTAACGCTTTCGACGTTCGAAGTCAAACTCAATTCTGTTTCGTGGACCGAAACAGGCTGCAAAAATTGTTCCAATATTTCGCAATGATCAAGCGTTACGAGTGCCCAGTTGGATTTCAAAATGTTGCAGTGAAAAAACTGCACCACGAGACATATCAACCTTCGACTCTGTCTTGAAATTATCTTTTGTTTCGCGCGTTTACGCGATTAATTGCCTACGTTGTTGCATTCCAAACCTGTGCGTTACCGTTCTTGCAGTCATCGCAAATTTTCCTCGTGAAACACTTTCGATAAGTTCAGCTAACAATAGCGATTTTTCTTACTGTTGATTTTACTCTTAACGAAGAATGAAGTCGTTTGACCGCCTCGATTGTCTCATGACGATCAAGTAAATCGATGGTTGAACGATTCTTCCGTGATCCCAGGAGCATCGAGCTAATCTACGTCGATGTAAAATTGCAATCTGCAGTCTATCGAAACGGAATTTGCCTTGCAAATCGCTTTCAGTGCTGTTGCTTTCGATCGTTAATTGCTACAGAAGATGATCCCAAAGAGCCATCTGCTTCAAGGACGATTCTAAGTTTTCCGAAACTATTGGTGGACAGTTCGTCTCGCAGCGTTCACTCGAACGCCTCCGTAAATGGCACTCGTTGAAAATGGAACTTGTTTCCGGTGACAATTTCTCAAGAGTTATCTTTTCATCTCGCGGGAATACTGCGTGCAATTTGCACGGAGAGCAACTTTAAAGTGTGCTCGAGGAAGGCACGTTCGTTTCCAGGTATCCACGGCACGTATTTCTTCTTCTTCTGCGTCTGGTAGCACCTCCTAATGGAGACTACCGTGCATCAGAGACCATTCGAAGCGACGGTATGTATGTATGCACGTCCTTTTCAATGCCTTTCGCCTTCTCTGGTCATAAGCCGGTCGGCTACGAGTGACAAGAATCATCGGACCGGAGTGCTCCATTCACCGATCGTGGTTGTATTCTTGCTCGAGTATGTTTAGACGTTTCTCGAATGATTTCAAGCATACACGTTGTTGAATTCGTAAAAATTCTACATAAGCTTCCGAACAGCTGCAAAGCATATGTTTAGTAAAGAAGAGTTCTTTCGCCAGAAAACCGTATGTTTATTTGTTAGCCTGCTGTTGTATTTTACATTTTCTATTAACGAATGTACGTGCGAAAAATACAATGCACTTCGTTAAGATTGTATTGAATTTTCTTTTGTTTCCAGTAATTACTCTGCTTATCTGAGAAATGTTATGCTTTTCCTTTCTATTACCATTAAACTCGAGATTATTCACTGCTGAGATTTAGACGATGTCAACGTAAATTTCTGAGAACGTTACAGACAATTCGCACGATAAGGAACACACGAACTTTACGAACCGTGGCAGAGATAGCGTGTCAATAAACCTATTTCGGTGCGATGGGACGGACCTACGTCGTCCGCGGCACTATTAAGCCATAATCTTTCAATCTGTCTATCTACGGTGTTATCTGGTCGGCTGCGTTCCCGCGTATTACTTCGTTCCTCGATTAGAAACTCCCGATCGGTTATCGGCGGTCGCATCGTTCGCCGTTCGCCGCGACTTGGAATTGCGCGAATTCCGTGAACAGACAGCGAAAAATCCGACTGTTAGCAGCTATTTCGTCACAGTTGCCCACGCTTGTTTTCCTGCGCTGTAATTGCCATTGAACCGCCCCGTGGGCAGCGTACAGTTGCGCCGACAATTTTGCTTATTCCTCCAAAGGTTTTCGGGTCTTCTCTTCGCGACGAGGTCGTGACATTTGTTAAACGGGTCGAGGATTAAACTGGAAAAATCAGTGGACATTCGAAATGAAACGTTGAAGATGTGACGGGTTAATGCGCCTGAAATTAGAGGTGCTCGAAACGTTCGGTCATAAAGATTCGAATAACGAATAAAGGATGAGAAACTAACGTAACCAACTTTTCATTGAATACACGAGAGGAGTCTAATTATACAGTATTATAAGTAGATAAAATAGAATTGTGCCAACTTCTGTTTAAAGTTACCGTCATGATAAATGTGGTCGTACAATATTTCATTCCTGTCGTACCGTCATTTTTACTTTAAACATGCTTCGTTGAAGACGTTCAGAGTTGTCTTCGTTGGCAAGTCGTACATTATATTCCATTTTACATAATCATATTTTACTTCATAAATAATGTATCATAGACCTAGACACGGTTTTCAATTTCATTTTGGAACAGTTTGCTACAACTAAAATTTGATTTATCTTCAAACAGAGAAACTTAAGAGTGTAACATTACGAAAATATTAATCTCTGAATCTTGGTGCATATTTGTGTACAGATACTCCACATAATAATAATGTTCCTATTAATTTAGATACCTCGAGAACAAAAGGAAATTCTATAGACACACGGTTATCCATTTGGGCCATTTTCATTTCATTCAATTTCTTATTTGCAAGAGAATTTCACAAGTAGATCAGACTGCGTGTATCCGCACAGATCTCTTCTCGAAGGAAACTGTTTGGCTCGACGTCTCGTCATCCCGTTAAAATATTCACGGAGTATTTCGGATTCCGTCCCGTGAATTTCAGCATAAAGAGTCCGAAGATATCCCCAGAAATATGTATAGTCCGGAGGATTTAAATCGGGAAAACGTTTCGGAGTTATATCCTATCCTGCGCGAGACGGCGCGCAGCCCACCGCTCCGAAATTCACCGGCGGTATTAAAGGCTCCTGGGATCTCGATCTTTCGCGTGTAATTTACCGCCCTGCTGAATACTTTTTAATGCCTCTTTCGTCGATACGGACGAAAATTTCAACACCTTTCCACGATATTTTCTTCAGCACGCAGAAATGGAACGAAAGAAAATCTATTGAAGTGTTGCGATAAACACATCCCACGGTTTCCAGCCCTTGCATTGTCCGGAAAACTCTCGCCTCTGCGATGGCGAGATTAGCGTAACACCGTGCGAGTTCTTCGAGCATCTACTAATAATCGTTACGTAAATATTACCGGCACTTTCCTCGGAAAACGATCACGGAATTTCTGACTGATTTTCTAGCGAAACATGTTTGTGAACATTGGAAGAATCGAACAATTTCGAGGGTCTTTTAAGAAAAGTTTGATAACCCAGTTTAGCGTCACCTCGCTGGTAGCTTTCTTCTTCTCGCGAATATAGGTATGTATACGTATACTCGGAAGTTCCTTGTGCCGGTATGGACGGAACCAAGAGACAGAACAGACTTTGCACCGCGATGAAACAGCCGTCTGCGCGAAGTCCTTGCGTAAAAACGTTTCTTCTTCCTCTAGGAAACAAGTCTGCGTCACAACCATTGCTCGATTAATTCGACCTGACGCAAGCAATGTCCACGGAGCGCAGACGGAATCACAAGTAACAAATTCGCGCAAAAATAAGCGACAGACGAATTTCTGATATTTTCTGGGAAAAGTGAAAATCTCATTATCATCCTTTTCGTTAAAGTTTTTTAAAAAAATACCTTCATTTAAATTTAATTATACAGGGAGGCTCAAATTTTACATCTAATAAGTTTTTTTTGTCGATTGTTGCGTAAATAAATAATAAAAATCGATTTCTGTGATAGCAGAACTTTACACGATTACAAAAAAATAGAACCATTGCACTTACTCGCACGCTTAGATACATTGGAATACTCGAGATCAACAAAATCACTCGATCAGAGTCTCCTCTCGATTTTCCAGGCGAGAAACGTGCTTCTTTATCGCGAACGTATTAGCAGCACTGATAATCGAGTTGCTCAGACACGCTATTGTAAATTATCTTCAAGGACGCGCTGATTGTTCACAGACACGTCACTTTTTCATACGGCAAATTTCATTCGACCCGCGCGTTTCTCTTATAAAATCGTCGAGTTCGATACGTCGAAAATTTCGTTCGATCGGTTTTTCCCCGAACGTTTGAGACGATTCGTTGCCCGGAGATATACATCGTATACCTGACCCCGGCATCGAAATTATCGTCCTGGAAAATCTCGAAGGGCGTAGGACTTTATCTTGGGTTTATCTCCTTCGCGATCGTTTCGGTGCCTCTCGAATTGGAATGCGTATAGCTCTCGTGGACCTCTGGGTAACATATTCTCGCGTATCTGTTCCTTTCAACTTTCGCACCAGTAGGTTATATCAGTCGCTGTATCCTTTGTAGGTTGTAAACAGTCTGTACTTGAGGCCCTAACGCGTTCTGCTCCAGTTGAAAATTCAGGTTTCCGATAGTTTCTTCATCCTTTAATGGTAAAATTTTGTTGTGAAAATGTGTAAATATATTTTTTAATTTTTTCTAAAATTTCAATTTTTACAGCAAAAGGTATTTTATTTGTTTGCATGACGAGTAAACAGCTACTACTAGTACTTCTGAATGGACTCGATTTCGATCCATGAAATCGTATCTTACAGTATACCAATAAAATTCAATATTTCTATTTCAAGACTTGGGAACTATATTCGTATATCCGACGACGTCCGACAGTCTCGAAGTAGCTAAAAGGACAGTCCCTCGCCTCCACCCCGGGCGACGCGTTTCGACGGAAGCTCGAGGGGCGAGGGTGACGTTCGATCTGCAGCGGGCGGCAGGATGATTTCAGATGTCATTGTTTACGGTTTCTTCGGGGTCTTTCCCTGCTTTGTGCCTGCGCGCTACCCTACAGGCATTACAGCCCTCCTGTCGTTAAGCCCCGGCCGTCCCGCGTTCGCAAAACATTTTCACGCGTCTGAAACAGCCTGCACACGTGTTTCTATACAGGGGCTCCAAAAATATCGAGCTTCCACGCACACCAGTGCCTTCTTCACGCTTCTACGGATCGATCGAACGCCGGATAAAGTTAATTCATTACCCTGAATCTCATCGAAAGAACTTTGCTCAATTAACGGGGTCGGAATTTACGAGACCTTCGCGTGATCCGCCCTTGTTCGCGTAACTATGACCGATTACGAAGTTGTATTTTTAAGCAGGGGTAGGTCGTGGTTTGCATGCCGGTGTCGCGATATCACGCGATATACACCGGACACCAGAAAAAGTCGATAAGCCACGCTCGTTTACCGCGTATCAACTTCTGATCTCGTTTGCTTATTCATTTATGCGCGCACGCACACGCGTGGTTCATTCTTCGGCCCGGTTTGGGAAATGCCTCTTCCTTTCCTCTTGTTCCTCTTCTCTTCGATCAGTCTCTTGTTTCTATTATCACCGTGTATTTACTCTGTTTGTTCTGTTCCTGGTGTTGTTCTTGGTGTTAACCGACGTCAAGCAATATTGATCACACTGGCGCTAGGGAACTGCCGTTTAGGGGAGGGCCGAACCGCAGACATTGTCCTCTTCGAGTTATTCTATCCTCTCTTCGATCGGGACAACCCTCCTCTCGTCTTCCACCGTTTATTCCTTTTCTATTCGATTCTTCGTTTTCTTTTACCGGTCGGAAAATTGTGTCAGAATTCACGGTTTGTTCGTCACGTCCGACCGAATCTACGAGCTATCAGCATCGATATTCCCTCGTCAATTCACGAGAGTCCGACAAGTGACATTGGCCATGCTAGACCAATGGGAACTCGTGCCATCCTTTCTCTGGTAACTGGTCTTTCGATACCTGGCAAATTTTCCAAGGATCAGAACACGTTCCCTCAATTTTCATCGACGAGTAAACAAGCGTTTGCTCTCCGATTCGGCGAACTGTTTGTTGGTCGAGTTATCGATTGGACCGTGCAGGGTACTTTGTCATCCCGGAGATGAATTTGACGCGTTGGAATTTCGCGTGGTATGTATGAATATAAAAGGTTTTTGCTTTTGTTTCCTCGTTTGTAGAAACGAATCGGCCGAACTAACTATGACACCAAATTGTAATCACTGTACTCGGTTCTCTTTTTCGTTTGATATTTAAACCTTTAACGGTGTTCGACGAGTATACCCGTCGTCATCGCTTGACTTTAATTACGCACACAGTTACGCCATTTCGAAACGAAAAATACACCGTTAAAGGGTAATAATACGAAGAGAAAAAGTGAAGAAACGTGTGTCGATTATCTTCTACATACATATTCTCTTTTGTATTTTTAGAGGCTAGTATCTCATCGCGGGTAACCGTGTATTGATTGCAAAAGTGGACGAGAAAGGTTGCCGGTGTGTCTCCGCGGCGACCCAATATTCGGGCACTCGGTAGGGGGTGTCCCCGAATTATAGAGCACCCCGTAGCTGGCAACACACGGGGTCGTGGAGAATACCGTCGCTGGGAGAGAAACGGGGGAGAGAAATGGGACGTTTCTCTGTGTCCTCGCACACCAAGAGAGAATACCTTCCCCGAGAGAAGTCCCCCATCGCGCGAATGTTTTACACGGTGGAAAGGGAGTTATCGATTTAATTCCCCGGGAAAACTCGCGAGAGGGGGTTGGAGGGGGAGAGAAAAACTGTAGGGGCTTTCGAGGCGGACCTTTCGCCTTTGTTCAACTCGGGGCCTCTGTCGGCGAGTCGAGAAAACGTGCTCGAAAAATTCTCTCGTTTTTCCATCACACGCGCGATTGGCAATCGCGTAAGGAAAATGCTGTCTCTCTTTCTGGTGTCGCGTCGAGGTTTTCCCGCGGGGGGAATATGGAGTGGAAGGGAACAACGTCTCTGCTCTTTATCACCGTAATCCATCACTCGTTAGCGATGCGACCCACTCAGGGAAGATCCGAATGGATAAGTAAGAGCACGATGGCCACGGAAATCAGAATGGAATGGAAGGTTATGAATTGGTTTTTTTTTTTCTATTAGACACATCTCTTTCAGCTTCCCCCCGTTAAGTTCCATTGAATTTTCGCACGGATCAGTCTGTCTCGAATAACAACGGACATGAAAGCGATAGCACGAATTTGTTCGTATGCGAGCGTACAAAGTACGGTCTAGGTACGTGGGGGATCGCTTTGACTACGTACGTGCCGGAATTCATATGTAGAATCGATACTTCTCGACAGGATTGAGACACACGAGTCCTTGGAAGTAAGCGTGACGAAAGTTTCTACCAGCTCGAGTCAAGTCACCTATAAAAGACGATCAGAATTGTCCAATTTTTAATCGACTTTAAAAAAAAGGAGGTTATAAATTTGATCTATATATATTTTTTTAACTCGCAACTCCGAAAGAAATTACAACAGGGTGTGCATCTCGACTATTATTCCGCGAAAGACATCGTCAGAATGGTTTGAATGGTTCGGAGTAAGATGGAGCGCAAATTGGAACAAACTCTCGTGGCGGCTCGAAATTAACGAATATTCCGTCGCAGTATGGATCTACGCACATTGTTCTGGCGGGACATGACTGTGTGGGCGTATAAATGCGTCACACACACACATTCTCTGGCCAGTGGAACGCTCTTGCGTGTTTCCACGCAGAGAGGGCCAGAGAGACGCGCGCGGACTCATTCAGATGCGTCTCGCGTCCGTTTCTCCGTCGGAGGACCGGAAGCTGGCTCGTCGTGCGTGCATCGTCACGCGTATCCGGTGCCCCGAAGTTCGTTTATCGAGCTCTGACACTTCTTCCACGAAAGGGCACGCTTCGATCCTCTTTCCCATCTTTGCACACTCTTCTTCTACCACTTCTGCCACGGGACTCGCCCTCTTCGCTTGCAGCCGACTTTCGAGTCACAAAATTTCGTTACGTTCCTTTTCATCGATTTCACGACCGTTCGAATCTCCGAAGGATCGCTGGTATGTTTCAATTGTTGGTAACCAGCTGAATTGCTCCATCCGTTTGCGATGGTAGTCGATCGAATGGTGAAACGTCGAAAGGAAATGATTTTATATTACAATGATGATGCTTCAAATACTTCGTATATTATGTCGTTAGTGAGAGTTCACGGATAACGTCCACGAACCTCGTAGCCATACTTTGGCCTCGCCTCGTTCGAGGGTACAGAGAGACGACCGTAGACCCCGACGAACAACTGACAAAAGCACCAGAAGGTCTCGTAAGCCCTTGAAAAGCCACGGTGGTTTTCCCGGAGCGAGAGCAGGGGGGCCCTTGCTGGTCTCGGACTCCCCGGTGGATGTCGCTGAAAGAGGCTTACTAATCTTTCAAGTGCACCGGTGTCCCCGGTGATCGTTGAAACCACCTACGTGTATAGCTCGTGTTTGATGAAATTTTCCGTGGCTTCGTTTAGAATGATAATATTTGCGTGTCTGTGCTTCGTACAAGATAGACAACACGCAGAGAGGTGTCTGGTCTGTTACGGTGACGGATGTTTCCGGGCGGTTATTATTATCCGTTAATCTTAAACAATACCGTTCTATCTTTTCCACAGCTGTTTACAATTGGCGAGGCGAGACGCGCTATGGGCTCCCGTTGGAGATCGGCGAGACCGTGCAGATACTGGAGGAATGCGCAGGTAAAGTGTATACTTTCCATGCCCGATCCAAACACAATTGTTCGATTTCCAACTGGCTAAATCGATCCGTGTGCCGCAGGTTGGTACAGGGGCTTCTCGACGAAGAATCGCGCGGTAAAGGGGATCTTCCCTAGCTCGTACATTCACTTGAAACCGTGCAAAATCGAGAACGAAGGACTGTTCGAGTCGGTGATACCGTTGGAGGATCCTGTGGTCCGAGAAGTCACCCTGGTTCTACGAGAATGGGGCGGCATTTGGAAGAGACTCTACGTGGTGAGTGGTGCCCGAGTGTTCTTTTTTCTCTCGCCACAATTCCCTTCCTCTTCTCGTCGTCTGGCTGCGGGGCTCTTTTCCGCGACGGCGGATAAATGGTTCGTCGTCTCGCGACATAGTTTCCCCGTCGTGAAAAGTCCACTCCCCGAAGGGGAAAAACGGGAAGGAACAAGAGTCGCGTTTCAGCCGGTGAATATTTAACGAACGAAATCGGTCTCGCGTTGTATCGCGCCGCTCCGCGCGATTATGCGCTAAAACAAATAGCAGCGGACGGTCTCCGTCTCGCGAACAAATTATTCAAAGTCACGGGGAATTCCTTGTTATCGAGGGGATGACTAGTATTACGGTGAAAATCGTGATAGGGGGAGGGGGGGGGGCAGAGTGCTCCCTTTGAGGACGTAAATTGCGCTTGCGGGGACGAACGAAGCCTTTGATGTCGACAGATTCGATTTTCGAGACCGATCGAGTACGCGTTGCGTTTGACCGGTAAGTGGATACGAGGACCGGTCACTCCTCGTAACGCAGGCTCTATTAACTTCATATTAGGTGTATACGGATCGATTCTTGTTCGAAGATGGACATTTCCAAAGTTAGTGTCATCCTGCTCCCCCCAACAAAGATGAATTCTTGTCAGATTATGCTAACATGTAAAAGTAAGATCGTTTCTTATGTTTTCGAGAGGACTCGACAAATTTTAAGTGTCCGAAGATTACAAGGAAAAGGTATCGTAGGGAGGATGTTCTTTAAATAATATCGTAATGTAGAATGTGATTTAAATATATGGTACAAAGGGTTTAGAGTTTCAAGGTTCTTTTTCTCAAAATCGGTCCCTCTCTCAGCGAAACCATCCCGTATGGAGCGTATCGATTTGTCTTTTCCAACAGACACAGTCGTACTCCAATCCTAGTTGTAACACGATTTTCGCCGTCCCGCCCGGTCGCGAATCTTGGAGCTAATTTAAACGTTTCAAATTACTTGGGCGTATCCAGGAACGGGAGAATTACAAGTTCAGCACGCTGAGGAAGGTGATGCGAGAGTTACTAGATTGGCGGCGACAGCTTCTGGCCGGCACCTTGACGACCGATCAGACGCGGGAATTGAAGCTTCGGATCATCAACAAAGTGGACTGGGGAAATCGGTAAGTTTCTGAATTCAGACCGATGATACATACCGTTCATCCGATAGTTGAGATTTAAACATTGTAGGCTGATGTAATAATTATCCCGAACATTGAACTAAACTTTGTGTCTGCAAGTATCAGAATTTGTATACCCTTAACTAAATTCTGCTATAAAATTGCAAAATTATTCATCCACAAACATTAATGGACTACGACTTTTCCTACACGTTAACATAAGCGAATACACGATAGAACAATGCTATCTCTCACAGATCTCAACTGTTCATTTAATGAAATTTATCGAACGATTACGAGCTTCCTCCTATCGCCGGTTGGTTCCAGTTTAATTCACTGAGAGAGAGAGAGAGAGAGAGGGAGCACTCTCGTTGGGATTACGATCGTTTCGATTCGATCGCTCGAACGTGAATAAATGTGTGTGTACATAAACGCGTCGCATAGAAAGAGTATACTTTATTTATATAGTTGAATCGTTCTGTCTTTCACTTTGCTCCCGTTTTACATCTAACGTTGCACGTGTGTTGGCAGTCTTTCCGTTGACTTCGGCGCAATCGTTACAAATGAGCATTTCGTCTCTTCAACGTCTTAAGGGGTTCTAGGCACTAAAATACTCTGTAATCCTATGAAAGAAGGCACATTGCGAACAATCGTTAAAACTATATCATTTCTCTCTCTCTCTTAAACTAAGTCTATCTTAATATATCACTTGAACCGCGACTAACAGTAGTAGTATATAACTATATAAAAAAAAAAAGATCTACGAAATTAGTCATAGAGATAATTATTGTCGTAGGTATTGTCATTGTATACTTAGCGGCAGCATTGTATCATTCTCGCGAGTAACTTGAGAAAACAACGGGACGTGAGCAACGAACGATTAGAATTCGACGGCACAGAGATGCGCGCGCCAAGCAGCGTTATTATGCTTTAGTTTCGGGAATCGTTTGCTTTTACGAGCTTGCAAACACAAATCGTTTCTCTCGACAGAAATCCTCGGCAGCGACAGTGAAAAATGAAACACGACGGCACAGCGTGAATAGTAAAATGGGAGTCGTAACGAAAAATAATATTGAAATATCTCTACAGCTATCGATTAACGTTCACGTCTAATTTGTCAAATTATTCAGATCTAACGTCTCGCGGACACGTGTAAGTAGAAATGCGAATTATTTCTATCGGAACTCGTCCAACGATTCCGTTGGTTCCGTTTGCAAATTTTTTTAGTAATTCTACGTCGGATTGAGCCCGCTTCAATCTTGTTCCAAGTGTTCAATGGAAACGTAACTGTGAAACATCTATATATATATATTTATATATACTCTAGTATTTCTTTGCTCTAAGGATAATTGCACCAATTAGCGCAGACGTCGATACGCGAACGAACAGCGCGCTCGTTCGGTGTTCTTGTCCGCCAGATTTATCTCAGGCGCGTACATCATCGAAAAATATTGCGTGGCACTTTTGTACGGACATATTTCCTCCCGTATATCGATAGTCTACCATATCCTCGCGCATCAGAACAATTAAATAAATCGACGCCGAGACATACAAGAAAAAAAATACATTCTAAGATTCTTTCGTCTCTCAACAAGAATAATCCCTGTCACGCTTTTCACGCAAACGTATCGCCGTTACGTTAATGACAACTTTCAGCTCGTAGATTTCTATCCTTTTATTACAAACATTTTATCCTTTATTTCTACGAATTTTGGAAGCACTAACTATAACCACGTTGTTTTCGTAAATGAAACAATATACGAAATCGAAAGCAACATCCGCTCATGTACGAATCGCAGGGAATTTCATTTGGAACACCACAGACTACCGTTTCTCAACAGTTAGTCATCGACGTATACCTAAAAGTCACGTTCGTTTTCCAATAATACAAAAAGGAATTTGAATACGCGCAGGTAGAAATCCAGAAATACCATTCCCACTCTGCGTACATTACATGGTCACTGGATTTCGTTAAATCGCCGTAAAATAATTGACCGACGCGCGATTTACAGCTACATAGTGGGGGTGAAAGACGATAGCGTTGTTTGCTTCAGAAAAACTCCGACAGACCGTTTCTACGCGGCTAATTTTCGGCTCGTTATAATTTAACGGCGACAAATGCGGTTGTACGCGTGCCGAATGCGTATCGCGCGCGTTTTCGGTCACGTTACATACTTGTTCGATTAACTAAACGTTGGTTTGCGCTGTGGACGGGGGGTGAGTGTTTGGGGATGACGGCGATATTCGTGGTACCGTTGGCTAGCCTTTAGTCACCGGCACACACGTAGATTTCTATGGCAAGAATTCTGTCGTCTGATGAATTTGATTATTCTTTGCTGATGCGTCGCACAGGGTCAGTCGTCGATAGCGCAAACCTTTCACGCGAGATCGACGGGTGCTCGCACCCTCGGTTATTATCACAATAGAGAAGAGAAGGAGGCAAAGATACGGTTGGAAGAGGCTGAGGAAGGGAAAGGTGGGTGGGATTAGATCTCAGTGTCCTTCGCGTATTTCTCGATCTCCGGGTAGATGGGTGACATCTCGAGGGTGCTGGGCGCCGATGGCACCGACGTGGGCGAGGCACCGCTCGTCGAGCCAAGATGCATGTGACGGCAGAGCTCCTCGAGCACCTCGTTGAACATCATCACGTTCATATTTTGTCCCAACAGATGAAGCAACAGGAAGTCGCCGACCTGAAATTTACGTAGAAATAATAAATGACTCCTTTCGCCGTCGGTCAACGTATCCGTGACATCTGTGTTTCGTGTCGGTTATTATCGAGGATGAGGAACCGTGACATTCCGCGAGGCGGCTCCTCACGCGACTCGAACGAACCGATACGGGAAAGAACTCGACTGGTTTGAGAACCTGCAGTTGCCTTCGTTTTCTTATAAGGCAACTATAAAACGCACTTAAATGTTTCTTTACGCTTCCTTTTCTTCACCCTCTTGGTACCTTATAATTTTCCTGAGTACCGTCTAGAATAAGTTACACTTATAAAAAGAAACGAGGAGACGACAAATCTGGAAAAGCCACTATTCTGTCTACAACCGAATTGTCGATGAGAATCGTCTAATTGTGATTTTACCATTTCCGAAATATTCGTTATCGGTGCTACCAAAGTGTGTACCTGTGTTTTCCTGATGAGCGCGCTGGCGGCATTAGGCGTGCCGAACTTGAATCGTTTCTTGAGGATAGTCTCCCGGGTGCTGGGTAGCAAAACGACAGCCATGCTGTACAGCAAAGCGATGCCGGTCAACACCGCGAGAAGAATGAACCAGAACCACAGGAAAATATAGATCTTCTCGTTGAGAATGTTCAGAGCGAGAACGCAGAGGGCGTCCAATTTCTGAATGGTACCGGAGGCACCGAATTTGTGGAAGGTGCACTTGGTCACACGCGGGAACACCTCGACCATGGGATCGCTGCGTTGCTCCTGATTCATGTTGCTGAACTTCAGCACATCGGTACCGTACGACAGGAAAGCGCCGCCGAGGAACATGTCCACGAAGAATATGTTGCCAACCTGGAACGAACACATAATGTTCAACCGTTCAGATATATTTTTGGGCGATTTACATTATCCATCGGAGAACAGAATAAGTTGTGCCCTAGTCAACTGGAAATACTAAGATGGAATATGGATACAAATTCAAATCCTTTCGTCTCTAAATCTACTTTGCCTCACGATTAAAATGTTCTATTAAGCGATAAGGATGCACACGGAAACTATAAAGAAAACTTATCGCAATTGCTATATTTCCAAATTTAAATAGAGGCATTTGTCTTTCCATTCGAAAACTTTAAGCGACACACCGTTAAATTATTCAACACGTTGTGTACATTATTCGGGATGCTTCTCATTGATTTTTCTCCAGTATTGTATCTGGTTATCGGGGGCTTCCGTACCGGGTGCGATCTACTTTAAAAGTCCCTTCAGAGAAGCCGACGCGTCTCTCACTCCTCGTCTGCCCCTTCTGGCCGTATCTCTGGTACGGGAAGCAGACGAGGCGACAAAGTCGAGCGAACGAGCCGTCGTGCTTGTTATTAGAGGTTCGCGCGCGCTTTTACGATCTCCTCGTAAAAGGGGGACAAGCTTTTATCCGTGATAATAAACGATGCAACGTTACCACGTTAACGAAGTTCAGCGCCTCGCAGAAGAAGTAGCCAGCCGCGTAGGTGTTGTGCATGGTCATAGTGTCGGATATGTACTTGACCAGCCGCTGGGACTTCGCCTGTCGTTCCTGTTTGCTATCGATCATGGTCCCCCTCATGCCTTCGGATATCATTCTGACCTTGCCCTCCTCCCACTGTTTCCATATCCAGTGCGGTATGTAGAACAGAAAGCCCTGGAAGAACAGCATGAACGGGACCCATTGATAATACGAGTGGTACCTCTTCTCCCCGTAGTCGCCGCCCAGACCCGGATGAGCCACGTGGGTGCCGACGGGTTTCGCGTTGTTTTGCGGCAACGTGAACGTGTACGTGATCCAGCAGTACGTGTTTATCACGTTTTCCGGGACCCCGTCGTCGCTCAGACAGTTTATCGGATCGCCTGGAACCGAAAGAGATTAGTGGTCATCGCGTCGCGTCACCTGAAACGGTTCCTGTAGCGCCATCGTAGCAGTTTGGTCCAGCAAAAGGGGGAGAGTCGAGAGTAGTATTTACTCGATAACAAGTATTTCCGATCGAATAAATAATATCGAGGTGACTCCGAATCTCTGGGAATAGGAAAATCGTGAGACTGATCGATAAAAAAAACGCATTCCTGTTTTCCTGGTTCCTCATTTTTCTACTATCGTAGAGCTTTCCTTCGAACTGTTTACACGTAAACGGGAGGGAAACTAGACATTGACTCGCCATGTGCGACAAATTGACCCGGTTAGACAACGGGCGCGCGTTGTCGGTTTCGATTACAAGCGCAATTACACGGTAAATTATGCAAATGGCGATTCCGGCCGTCTCGAGACGGGAACGCGTCGATCGGTGGTGCTTGTCGGGAAGCTGGGCAACACGTGTCCTCGGTGGATGCAACGGGAGCGCAGAGGCACAGATGATGGCCTAGCCGTTAACGGTCGGACGATAACGCGAGCGCGCGCGCGCTGCAGTTCCTGCGGATATATCATTCGTATCTAATCCGGAGGTCTCCGGTCGAGCAGCACGTAGGTACATACATGTATATATATATATATATGTGTATAACGCTCCGGGATTCATCTTGCCGATAAATAAGCACACGCGTGTCCTCGAAACGGGACACCGGTGTGTTACGTTAATCGCAACCCGTCTGCGCCCTGCGTCGACCGTTTATGCAATCCCCGCCGATGATCTTTGACCCAGAAGAGACAGCTGCTAAGAGGATCATCTTTCCACACGTTACTTCGCTCTGCGACAGAGTAATTGCAACGGACAAGAATAAACAATTATCCGCGCGAAGTCGTTCCGTTCGAGGACGTGCGCTCGCGAGTGATTGGTATGCAGGCTCTGTAGCGGAGCTCCGGCTGCATAATATATCGGAAAGGTATGTTATACACCGACGATAAAAATACTTCTCTACCCTAGAGATGCTTGCGCGTACGATGGTAGAAGCTCCCATTCGACTTTCGATCAGCGTATTCGATCGTCTGATGTATATACATATACGGCCTGGAGAATAGGTGGACGCCTTGGGGGACGCACGATTATCCACCCTGTTTTCGGTTGTACGGCGAATCACAGAGGCCATCGTATATACCGGTGGCGCGCACAATGTCCCTTTGTCCCGAGAGCGCGTTCCGCGTGTCAACACCTAATACACGACCTCGAAACTGACACGTCGCGGATTAATTTTACATTCCCGTCGCAGGGTCGCCGCGAAAATAACGAGAACACGTGTGTCTTGTGCCGCGGAGATGCAACGAAAAGGTCGACGATGTTTACTCATCCGGTGAGAAACAAAAGCAGACACGTATCGTAAGGCGACAATCGTTTCTCTAACCCCACTTCTCACGATGTCTCTCGTCTGTAATTCCAAAGTACCATTGGCCGAGCGGGCATAAACCGATAAAGTCGGACGATAAGTTGGTCGAACGAGTGCAAAGTTTGCTCTCGAAGTTCCTCCCCAAAAGGCGGTAAAAATATCGGGCATCGAAAAAAGTTTGTGGGCGCGCAGCTGCTTACCTATGAGGTTATTGGCGGACACGATGATGCAACAGGCGAACAGAATCGCGGACGTGATTCTGTAATGGGCCCTGAACACCATGTTATCGATCACCGCCTTGTCCACGAGGTATCGTACCTTGACGAACCCGGCCACAGCCGAGACCAAGCCAAACACCGCCATTCCGTCCTCCCTCGGTTACGGCCGCCCCCTGTAAACAACCAAACGATAAATTCATCGCGCGACGTCGACGCTCGGACAGCTAGACAGTCCACCGATTGATGAACGGCATACTCGCGCGCGTGTACGTCCACTGGGATAGATGATAGTCGTGATTAGGGTAATTAGCTTGATGAATTAACGGGGATCCCGATGGGAAAACGCGGCTGGCTCCCGCGCGTCTTCACGCGTACGCGGGGGGGACGACGCTGTCTGGTGCCTTGTTTGTTCAGAGTGCGTGGAGCGTGGCATAGGCGTTCAGTTGCAACCGTGTGTATGCAATCGCGATCGAAACTGAAACTCTCGGTCATCGATACGACTCCTACGGCCGAGCATTTACATTCTTATCGAGTAGTAACTCGGTTACACACGGTGAGTCAATGTACTCGATACAACACGTCGCGGGAACACAGGAACGCCCGACGCCGCCGACGCGACGTCTCTTGGGCTCGCGTGACGGTTAACGAGCAGCGCGTCAAGGCGGCGTGTATCTTGACTTTTCAATCGTTTCGAGTCTCGACCCACCCGCGATACCTCCGTTAATTACCGGTAATAATAGACTTGACAAATTTAAACGTATGGAAGATTGCGACAGATAAATTTCACATTTTCGAGATTTCTACGTAATAAATTTATCCATTTCGTTACTTGTAGAGTTTTTATTATATAGACTTCTTCGTCCAAATTTTTATATTAATAGATTGTACTGTATAAAGAATTCTGTAACCAACAAAAGTGGATAAATTTATGGATGAACTTCCGAAGAGCACCTGCATCCGATGACCCTGACCTTGACATGGGTATGTTGTCAAGGTCACCCTCCTAAATGACCTTCGAAAGAATTAAACCGTCGATCATTGGTTACGAATTTTTCCAGAAATCTGAACTTTTCCGTACAAAGTACTGAAGCATTTGAGCATTACTTCTGTATAAAATACTCTGATCAGTATAATGCTTCAGAGTTCGTTAAAAACAGTTCTAAAGAAAAGGTAAATCCACCATGGGAGTTTCTTTTCGCCTGGGCGTAGCCGATGGCTCGATCCGACTCGCCCGCCATGTGCTCGTTTGCTGAGCCTGTAATATTCAATTAGAGAAATCGTGGGCGCTAATTTAAACTCCCCGTCGTTGGTAATAGCAACGACCGAGTTATTGGTCGCGAAAATAAAACACACGCGACACACGATACATACGTAAAGCAAGAACTGACCGAACAGATCGTGGAATAGGAATGCTACGACTACGCGTGGAAAAGGGGCTATCTCTTCGGCTACTCGCGAGAGAGATCGAGCGTGCTTTCTCAGATGTGCTTGACAATCCAATGACTGACTCTTGCCCACACGTTTCAAGCCTGAACTCGACGAAGCCGCCAACTTTGGTATGGCTTATGCAGTACATTTGAAACATAGAAATAGAACTCGAACGAATAAAATTAAAAGATGTAATATGTATACAAAATTCCAGTTTCAAAGATGATTTCAAGGATTTTGATTTATTATCTTTTGAATAGGTTTGCATATACGCTGCAACTGCACTTGTTAATGTATATAAAAATTACTTTAATTATTGGGATGACATTTATTTATTAATTCTTCGTATTTAATGTATAAAACTATGCCTTCTAATGAAGGACATGTTAAATAATATTATGTTCCACACTGGAGTTATGCTACAATCTTAAGGTGGCAGTAATTGGTACATTTACTCTGTATTAAGTTTTCTTTTCAAATACGTTATTCGTGTACTTATGATCCAGAAGCATGCCTGGATCGTCTAACGAGATCGAATAGAGAATTCTCGAAAAGAATATCCGGTTGAAAAAGAAAAAAAAACCCACGAAAGAGGAAGCTCGAGCAGAAAACAAAGGATCGAGATGTTAAGGGTCGATAGACCGCGATTGAATCGGCGGAGTTTTACGCGCGCGTTTCCGGGCGGTCGAGGAGTTTCTGCGGAGTACCGGTAGCAACCTTGCCGCCACAGCCGGAAACGGCAGATGTACGGAAGATCGATATAGAGGCCCCGTCGCTCGGCATCGCCGCGCCACCGCTGCTCTTCAGCTCGTCGATTGTTCTCACGACGAAACAAAAGCGTGGCCAAGAATGGAGCTGCTCCGCGGCGGCGGGATTTTCGTTCGGCGTCGCGCTCCAAAAAACACTCGCGTGTTTTGTCGAACAGCCGAAACCAGTGAAAAAAAAATCTCGTTTACGAACCGCAACTCCCCTTCTGCGCGTCGAGAATTCACCCTCGATCCTCCCTTTTGCGTGTCTTTTACGCCCCGTAACAATGTCAGAGCAAACAGCACTCGCACGAAAGATGGTGAAGAAAGAACTTTTGTAATCAGAATTTTCAGGCTTTCACGACTTGGCGTCGTCCAGTTATTGGTGTTGGAGTTGTCAGGCGAAAAATTCCTTTTGGAATTACTATTTACAGTAGACTTCAGGATCACATGTTTGTCAAGAAAGTGTTTAAAAACAGCAGATAAATGAAGCTCACGTGTTTCAAATGTTATTTGTGTTAATGGAATCACTAATGGTGACACAGTTATCAGAATTTCCTTGCGTCTGATTTTCACTTCGACGTAGTATCTCGTACGCGTCTGTTATTAGTAATTACGTATGTATTTCTTACTTGTTCGGAGTTTGAAATTCGCTTCCTACGAGCACTGAACGCGTCAGATTCGAGCTTGTAAACCGAAGCGACCGAGTTGTAGGTAGTTAGAAGATTATTAGTTAATTAATTGAGAGCGGTCGAGGCGCGTGCCGTTGCAGAGGGTCAATTTCTGAGCAAGCAGGGTTGCCACAACGTACAACGCGAACGAGGAGAGCTCCTTTTCGCCGCGGCGGAATACAAAATTTTTGCGAGTACAGGAAATTGAAAGGTTTTTCGTAGATATTCTCCTGGAATATATAATATATATTTTCCGTGAATATTCCTCGAGGGAAAATATGGTTACTGAACTTTCGAACACACACGACACGCTGGGCAACTTCGAAGAGAGCTTTCGTAGGGTTTCTTGAGATGCAGCCATTTTCACCTGGACACAAGGATGATGTCCAGCTATAACATTACACACGTGGGCTGATTACAGTTAAACTTCGCGAGTTTTTTGTTCCGCGAGACACCGTGTGCAAGTGGTTTGCAAGCGTATTCCACGAGGGGGATCGCGTGTAATTTCAGACCGTCGAGTTTGCGGTGCGGCGGCGGTCGTTTCGCAGCGATGGATGATTTAAAACGATCTATAATTTCTGCTGGAATCGCGTCGCCTGACGTTTCGCAACTCTCCATTCTCTAATTGGTTTGTCTTCCCAGCGTTCTCCAATCTCGATTCTTTTCTTTTTCTTATTCACGTTATCGTTGACGCTCCATTTCCCTTCGTGCTCGAGGATATCGTGGAAAGTGAAACAGTTGTTACGTAACACTAATACGAATTATTAATTATTAAGAACTGACGATTAATTATTACGAATACGAACTGTTACGAGAAACGTTTGCTTCTTCCGGTAAAATATTCCTGATCTCTCGGTTTACATTTATGCTACGAATCCACGCGAGGGAAGAACTCTCTCGAGAGAGAGCTGTTCTCACGCCTGTGTCCACTCTGGAGTAGAATCTTGTGAGCTTTACACTCGAGAGTACAACGGCACAACTATTTGGAGACTTGATTTCAGGTCTGAGTGCATGGTAAAATCTACTTTTGGTAGTGAAACTCTTAGGCGGACGTAGCACTGAATCTTCTAAAGATTTCAGACAATATTTGTCATACACCAGTGGTGTAACACCACTGCGTGCAATATTTGCTCTTCCCATAGAATGGGGATAATGAATCTATTAAGTAGAAATACTATTTTTAGCCCGTAGAAATGCCTATCGACTTAAATACATGCACGAAACTCCTAATAATGGCGGAAAATTTCTGAAGTTGAAGGCTACAAGTTGAAATTTTTCCCCATTCTTACGTTAAACCCGTAGTTCCGAGTATTTCGATTGCTCCGCGAGAATCTGAGATTTTCCGTGACAACGGTCCATGATTCCTCTCGTGCACACGCTTCTTCGAACCGCAGAGAGAGGGAAGCAATGCGGGAGTGGACACTGACGACACCAGAAAAGACCACGCTTTCTACCGCCCCGAGTTCCCCGACGATGGCTTGGACAGTTATTGGAACGATTCATTAAACTCTATAAAGAACGTCTGCTACTCTTAATTCCTTTAGTTCGGGAGTTGGTTTCGATGATGGTCTTCGGGCGCTGTCTTTTAATATCGCTGGAACGATTATCCGAATACATACCGAGGAACTTTGCAAATTTATGGTAATCATAAATTAATATCGTAAGTAATTATGATAAATCTACGAGATGGCAAATTAGTGGATTTCTATGATTTTGTAATATAGGTACCGTAAGAAGTAAATTCAATCTCTCAACGTATCCTCCAACTACATCAAAACGACTACTATATAAAATACAACAACTTAAGCTGTATCTCACCGAAACACGAGTTTACGGGATAAACGAAAACCGGTAGAAAATATTCCTTCATCGATTCGGTTAGAAATTCTCGTACGCGTAACACGTTTCTCGGTGACCATCGATGATCCCCCCGGCTTCTGTCCACGCTGGTAATCGTCGGGTATTGAGTTCCGATTTTCAGGCACAGACTGGAATCTACCGCGACCGCGAGACGGTGGTTTTTGAGCGGGGCTCGGCTCTCGTAACCGCAACCCACACACCATCCTCCCTATACGAATTACCCCTATCGGGTTACGAGATATCAAGAACGGGTTTGGAAACGCGTGAGACGCGATTACTTCGCTTGGCTTCTTATTCGGTGGAAATATCGTGGCTCGGCGTTAATCTTGTGCGCGGCTACAAGTTCAAATTTTCCTCGCTATGCGTTATTTATTAGGATCATCCGAGAAACATGTAACGAGGGGTGGACTGCATTTGTGTTCCTGAACTAGACGATTCTTAACTGCAGTCCATGATATTGTTCGAGTA